TTTTATTTCCACTATACATGATTAAGTAAATTCCCAACATAAGGTGCATAGTCCTGTGGTAACTTATAATCTGGATCCAAGAGTTTGGTTTTTGCTTAATTAATGCTCCCATTTAAATCATGCATAGAGTGATTCGATATGAGCACACTACGTGACCTAAAAGATTCTACATAGTCCATACAAGTTAGCGTATTCACCAACTATTCTCAGGGTGTAACAACGCACTACTATATTAATTGCTTCGATTTTCATGGAAGTATTATGTAATATTGGTTAAAATTTTCTTGCAAATTCTAAGAAATTGATGTTATTGCGTATGGACATTGTGTTAAGGATAAAATTTTATATTGAATAAAGGTGAAAAGTCAACTAACGTGTAAAGATTTGAACTTCAAATCTCGGATATTCATACAATTGAAAAGTATACAGTCTCTATTATTATTATTATTCAATTACTACTACCCACAAAATACTTAAGGTTTAGATGTAACGTTTATCAGAAATTTAAATAGCAAAAGCATAGATGGAAATGACAGCTCCACTCTTGCAATGATGGGGATCTTCAGCTAATTGAATAACAATTCTTTTACAACCACATATTCTTAAAGGAATTCTTGACAGATGACTTACAGCCTACAGGATTCATCAAGACTTGAAAAAAAATAAACACTTAAGCAATAGTGAAATTACTTCAAAATTTAAGAATGCATAAACGGAATTTTGAATATGAAAGAAAATAGTTTTAAATCTTTCTTGTGGAATGGAATTTGATCTCAAGTGGTTTGTTTATATTTTGCATTGATCATTAATCGCCTATTTATAAATCTCAACCAATACTACACGAATGGTACCAAAACATGATGAAAAGACACAATTTTTCATCCAAAATAACACCAAGTTTCAAGTTGAAAAATTAGCTAACAACCTATTTTTAATTCTATGCGGCTGCATAGGTTGTTCAATAGCATGGCGAATACGCCTTGTATGCCTACATGCGACCGCATTCCTCCAAATCCTTGCAGTTGCATAGGCCAAAGTTTTGTCCCTCAATTCCATTATTTATTCCACATACATTTTATTGATTTTGAACAACAATTTTAACAATTCCCCACTTGTTCAATATTCAATAAAATATTTTATTCAAAATATACAATACTTATACATAAGAATTAGTTATCTTTCGATTTAAATCTAACCATAGTGTAATTCAAATAAAGAAAAGTCGAAATTAAAGGTAGTAAGAAAGCTTTGAACCAATAATTCCTTGTGACAATACCGGTAAGTACATGCATACAAGTATGGCGTGTTCTCAAGTTCCTCAATCTCGCTTAGTACTAATATAGTCTTGCGCTCATCCTATTTAATGAACTTTTAAGAGAAAAACTCCAAATCTCTATTGAGGTGACACCACCTTGACATTCATTTAGGTGAAATTTTTTCAATATCTTCGTTACTTTTAGAGATATTTATACTTTAGTACTAAATTTCATTACAAGCTTAAAGCTCAACCCTCATTCAAGTAACAACCAATATTATATTATTAGGATAGTGTTATTGTGAATTTTATAATGTTAAAACTTATTCATATATCAAATGACTTCTTGTTACCTTTTGAACTCGTGAATTACTTATTAAGTA